ATGGAATTTTATAAATGCTCTCTGTGTTTATGAGATACCAGGCAAAATGGGAACTACAGATTCTCCTGATAAATTTTACTTTGGTCAGACCACATTTCAAATACTGTGTCCAGTTCTGCACACCACACTTCAAGTAGAATTCAGAGAAATGGAACAGGTTCAAGAAGATAGAGATGACAATGATTGGGTAAATGAGTTATACTGTATTTATTTATTTCTTTGTTAGATTTATGTCCTACCTTTTGTGGTAGTACTCTTCAAATATCAGAAAAGATGTTATCCAGAAGGTCAAGATCTTGTCTCTATCGTTCCAGAGTAAAACTAATGGATTCAAGTTCCCAGAACACAGTTTCTGGTTGAATGTTCACAAAACAACAGAAAACTTCATAAGTGTAAGAGCAGTTTAACAATGAATTAATTACCTAAATAAGTGATGGGCTCTTTTTTACTAGATGTATTCAAACATAGGCTGGACAGTCATCCATTGGAGATGCTTTAATTCGGATTCCTGCACTGAACCAGTATTTGCATGTACTGTCTAGACTATCCATCCCAACTTTATGATTGCATAATTCTATTCTTTGATGGCTATTAAATAAGGCAATTTTTATGCAGTTGGAGAAAAATATGCTTTACAGGGAAGCAGAAATAGATAGCTACTAATTTCTTCACAAGAATCCACTGGATTGCCTTCTTTGATCAGCAATTGTATTTATTTATTTTTATTTATCTATTTAATGTATCTATAGATTAAACTGATGAATCAAAATAATTTTTTTCCTCCAAGATTAGAAGTCTTCATGTTGGCAAAGGCTGCTTATGGAATTTCAGCAAGACAAAATTGGCAGATTGATAATTGAATATCTCAATCAGATCTCTACCTCAAGAATATTCCATTGATTTTGTAGGCAGCTGTACCTTCTAGGTTTAATGGTTAAGCTGGAACAATCCAACATCTGTTTAAGTTGGCTTCCTTAAAGAAAACCTTTGATGCCAAATTTAGGAGAAAGCTAAGGGCTTTCCAAAAGACCTGCATTACCTCACAATTCCCTTTCATAGTGCAGTTGTCCCTGCAGTATTAAAACCACTTAATTTGAACAGTGACTAGTATTTAGATTTCAAAGTCAAAGCATGCATTGATGGACTCTCAGACATGACTACTGCCCATACTAAGGTTTTTTAAGAGCTCTGAATGGTCAGAAAGAAGCATAAAAGAACATAGCTGGACATGTACCAACCAAAGCGCAGCTAAAGCTCAGGAAACAATAGCTTGAAAAAAGTTATAACTCAAAGGACATATTTTACCTCTGTAGAAAGAGGTATGGCTCAAAAGAAAAATTAATGGTTTTTACAATGGCAGACATTTAGAAAGCATGTAGAATTGTTTGCTTCATCATATGGTGGAATTCAAGAAAAAAATACTCTTTTGTTTACAGCAGCCAGAACAATGATCACCTTTTATACTTCCAAATATCTGTTACCTAGAGATGTGACTCTCTTGGCTACCTGCTTCTCTCAAATGCGATCTCTCTGCTTTGTCTGGAACATAGTTACGCTCTGCTATTTCCTCCTACTCTCCCTGACATTTGTTAACCTTCCGGTAATGAAATTCACTTGCATTAATGGCTTACATTTCACTATAGTTGTTGTCCTCCCACTTACTCTGTAGCTTTTGTTATCATTCCTGCAGGCTTCCATCAACAATCACACAATGATTTTCCCAGTTCTGCAGCACTTTTAATAGTACACACAACCTAAATTCCATAATGGATGATGCCTTAATATGTTTCTTGCATTTATTTATTTCCCACTAATTTGCCCTTCTGGTTATTTAGGTTTTTTTTATTACAAGGTTCGCTAACAGTATGCATTTATTTAGGTCCCACTGATTTGTCCTTCTAGTTATATTATTATATTGAAAGACTCATTGACAGTGTACATTTTTTCAGAAGTATTGGATTTGCACATTTTCCCTTTCAGATTTTTAGTAAGCCTTATGATACTTCTTCCAGTGAGGAAAGCATTCCTTGGATATTTCTTTGAGAAAAGATGTCCCCTCAATTCTAATTGTATTTTATATGACAATTAATCACATTCTAACAACTTTCTGTTTACACTGTATTTGCAAGACAGTTGCATTTACTACAGAGTACAGCCACTGAAATTCTGTCTGGGTCTCCTCTTCAGAAACATTTATTTCAGCATTGGTTCCACTGGCTGCCACCCAATTTCTGAATTCATTTCAAGGTGCCAATAATTGTCAGAAAAACCTAACTGAGATTCATATGCTTAAAAAAATGTTTCATTGGCTAGGGTCACACAGTGCAAACCAAAGCCAAAAATTCACATTACAGTATGGCTTAACATAAGAATAAAGCCTTGAATAATATTATTGTCCTATCTTTTTTTCTATCTTCCTCTCTAATAGTAAGGGAGAACAAAATGCTGACAATAAACTTTATCACTCATATTCAGATACATGATCTTGTGTAAGAAGTCTCCTGTCATGTGGTAATTTGACAATTTATTGGATCAAATTATTTCCATTGTGAAATGTGATATCCATTATCTGTTTTCATTTCTAGGTAAATTACTATGGCTGTCATCATCACCATCATCATAATTTTTGTTTGCTTCAAGAAAAACACAGTGTTTGTGTTCTCTAAATTAGTTCTTCTTTCAGGTCTTTTTTCAGACTGTTTTCCATATTGATTAAGTATATTCTTACAAATACACTTACTTATTCAAATAACCTTACAGAAGGCCTTATGTACTGTAGATGGTTCAGTCTGTCCCACTTTTTTGTCCTTTCATCAGCTAGTTACTTTTATCAGAATGAATTAAAACTATTTTAGGTAGCTTTTAGCTATGATTATTTGGGAGGACAGTCCTAGGGCTGTGTCTTTACTTGCAGCGTACTATCGCATCATCATGTCCTGACAACCCCAAACTTCCCTTTTGAATTCATGTTGTCCTCGTCTCATCCCCAGCCCACGAGTTAAGCAATCTTTTGTGACACAGAATAAATATAGTGTTTTGCTTCGGAATCTAACACTAACCCATTACAGCTTCAAGGTCTGTAAAGTCCATAATGGTTCGCTACCATTACAGAAAATAAGGTCTAGTGATCTGTTGTGAGAGTGATCAAAAGAGTGCTTTGAGTGTGCTGGAAGTCATGGGCATACCTCCTCCCCTCAAGCCATGGGATGCTTCTGACGAGGTTGCAGGTGTGATGCTGAATCAATGGAAGGGGGCTCATACAAATAGTCTATCAGTGGAAATCAGAGGTCTCCAAAGATCTGCCTATGGAGAGGAAAGTAATTGGTACTTGCTTTCCCAGCACAGGTCAAGAGGTAAAGAAGCAGGAGAATCCACCAGTCAGAGGCTGTAGTAAGCACAGTCACAGGCCAAAACAGAGAACAGGGTTGAAATCTGGAAAGGGATCTTAAGCTGGCTTCATTTTCTGCTGGTTTATCCACAGAAGCCAACAGAAGTTGAGCAGGTTAAGCTGCAGTACAGAAAAGCCCTTAAAATTAAGAATTCAGCATCACTGATCATCAAAATTACTTCCTTGGCAAAACTGCCACAGCTTTTCACCTGGTCAAGGAAGCAGCACAACTTTAACATCAAAACAACTACATACATCTTTAAGCTGTCTCAGGCATGGGTCAGACATGAGATACAAGACATGACAGGAAAATGAGGTTGCCATAAATCATGGTTAGATACAAGTGGGGAAAATGTCCTAAAAAAGAAGTAAGCAGAGCAACTCAGGAATTTCCTAGAAGGACCGTGAATAATCCCTTACTGTAGAAATCAGGCTAGTTCCAATTAGTACTACTTCATACCACTTTGACAAATCTGCAGGTTTTTTTGGAAAGTATCATATGCATCTTCATCTTGATTGAGTGATTATTGGTGAATACAAACAAGGGTACTGCTCTTATTTCTTGTTCCACTTACTTCAGCTCAGGTGGTCTTAACAGTGCCACAAACTTCATTCCCTTGGACTTTTTTTGTGCAAGTGTAGCTACTTTTAACACTCAGTGCAATTCCTCCTCCATGTTTTTGCTCCTTTTGAATTTGAATCCTTCAGTTGCTATAGATCAGTGTGGGAATCACCCCAACCAATTCTCAGTTAAACCTTTTAATCGCATTTGTCTTTCTCTACTAGGAATTCCAATGTATGATGTTTATTTTATTTTAATTTTTTTGTATACTACAATACACAAAAGAAAGGTCAGACATTTTATGAACCAATATCAGTCTTTTTTTATTGGGCAATTTAATAGGTTTCATGTTTATTAGAGCTCACATCTATATCTGATTCCCTTACATCAGGTCTTATACCGACACTTTCACCATGCTTCAGCCAAACACATTTTTATCAGTTCTTACTCAGTACAACCCCTCTTGTGCAAGCAGTCCATCACTGAATTGCCTCAGACAGTAGTCCCAGCAATTAAATCTCTCCAATCAACCTAGTTTATATAACCAGCCATTTAACCATAGTATTCTGTTTTTCCTTCCCAGTCTCTTTCCATGGACCAGATGAACAGGTAAGAATACCACCTGAACTTCCAATCTAAACATTTCCTTCGGAGATCTCCAACATCTGCAGTCCCATAATTGGAATTGCTCTTGACAATATTATCCTAAGAAGGGGTGATTGTTAGTGGATTTGGTAAGTACTACAGTTGTTCTTTCGTATCATAGATCCTTGATCCTTGCAGATAGCACACTTTATGAACAAGTGGGTTTGATCAGCATGCATTTGTTTCTATACCTCATAATAGTGAACATAGACATCTGTTCCTAACCACACGTATTGTGACATCATAACACAAGCTGTGCCATTTTGTACTTGCATCACACATGCAGGTACATAAGAATGGAGTTTATTTTTTGGTAGGTATTTAAAAATACAATCAAGAAGTAAAAAAAGTAAAAAAAAACTAAATAAAAAGAGATATATGTGCATTATAAGATTAAATAAAAATGTCAAAGTAACATTAGATTAGTGCTGCATATTAAAATATCTTGTATCAATTTAGAAGTTCAGAACATTATTAAAATCAAGTTGATACGCAAAGATTGGCAACAATAGCCAGTATAATATGAATTATAAATCAAAATTTAAAAATGATAAAAATGACTAATCTAAAAGTCTATCCTTTGTTTAGCAAATCAAATAAGAGCTTAGATATTAAAGCCTTATTTTAAAAGAAACCCAAACTTCAGATGCAGTATAAATCCATGTGTTGAATTGCAATCCAGGAATGGTTTCCAAATTGAACTGAATTCTATATCAGATTTGCTTTTCAAATATAAAGGTGTTTTTTTTTTTATGTGTGCTCCCACAGATTAATTTGCCATTCTTCTATAGACTGAATTATATGCAATTTCTAATGAAAAGCTAAAGTGTTCTGACAGCTGTTACCATAAAGCCAACTTGATATACTTTGTGCAAATATAAAGTTTGGTCATGTTTAACAGAAAATGGATGGTTGGAAGGAGAATGCGTTTCATTCTATAACAGATCATCTTCCAGAACTGTTGACCTTTATAACATTGCTACCAAATACGAAATAATGATCTGATCTGATTATTGCATTTCCAATAATTTTTAGAGAATGAGCTGATTTAGCAATCACACTAGTATACCATTGGTAAAACTTCTTGTATTCGTTTTTGAAGGGTCATATTCACAGTAAATTTAATATTTTTCTTCCACTGATAATCTCATTGTCACATGTTAAATTCTGCATCCATTTAATCATACTATCTTTAACTTGTTCAGTTTCTGAATCATTTTTCACCAAGGGCAGAATTTGGGTCACAATGTCACAGTATATGCTTTGTCACTTCCCTCCTCCCCATTCTTCCAGGGGACTCCTCTGGGGATGAGTTATCAACTATAACTGATCTTTATCTTCTTGCAGGACTCAGTTGCATCTCCTCTACCCTCCAGGAACCCACTCTTCTATTTTCTGTTCAGCAATCTCACTTTCTCTGCCTTTGAAACCTTACAGCTTGTCTTTTTGGCAGCAGCAGAATTGTTTCTAAATTCTAGCAGTGCAGAATACCTTCTTCATCTACTGTTTCTGGTTATCACACTTGTCCACTGGGCTTGCTTATTGTTTTGATTCTCTTCCTTATGTAGGGTCGTTTCCTCTGTTAACATCTGTTGTAGCATTTCCATTATTTCATCTTTTAAATCTTCATCCTGTGTTGTGAGCTGAAGTGTGGCCACTAGCTGCTCCAATCCTCATACTTTTCTTCAAGCACTCTTATAAGCCTGCATATTCAGCAAACATATGCTTTGTAGCTTTCAGACAGGAATGAAAACATGCCACAAATATTACAAATCATGACTACAGAGTTTTATCTACAGTATTCATTTTCACTTCTCTTTCTTAAGGCATCATCAGTAGAAAGGTTTTTGTTTCTCCGTGTTGCCTTCTCAGTCTGAACTTCTCTGGCAAGCTCTTATTATTTCTATGTGTTAAAGCACTCACTTTGTTCCCTCCTTGGAAACTGGCTACCTTAAATTCCTCCTACCATCTCTGCAGAAGCCTTTGACTGCTCAGCAGGAAGCAGTCACTCACCCACAATGAGCTATCAGCAACTGTCAGAATACACCCCTTGAAAACAGCAGCTATTTAAAATATGATCTTTTCACCTCTCACAGTAGAGCACAGTTTCTCAAAGCATATAGTTTTTTTTAGTCACTTTCCTCTTTCCTTTCTTGTCTCTTCCTCCTGTTAACAGTGACACTCCTGTTTGCTTGCTCAATATGCTTAGTTTGCTTGCTCAATATGTTCGCTTATCTGTTTGACTCTTTTTTAAGGACTAGATTTCATATTCTATTTGCCTCTAGAGGCGGGCTAGATAATAAAAAATAGTTACAGAAAGTTTTGTGGACCCAGTATCACAGAGGTAATGTGATTTTTTAAAGAAAAATCTAGGCCTCCTATAATTAGCTAAAAAATAAGCAATTGTCTTAGTATAAAAATGTTTCTATACCACAGATGAATCTCTTCTGATTTTCTGTATTTATAATTAACATTGTTCATTCTGAAAATTCTAAGTGAAAAATGGATAAAATGAAGTTTTCACAGTAGGAATTAGAAACTCTTAATTAAAAGATTCTCCCAAAATTGCTATTTACAATGTTAGTTTATTCCTTATGAAACATGTAAGTTTTCTCTCAGTAAAACTAATGGCTGCTTACATCAGCAAAAAGTTATAGGGATAAAAGATTAGATTCTTTCATAATGTCTTGGTTGCAATCCAATCCACCTGCAATTGCTGTTCATTTTGAAAAACTAGGATATTTTATCCTTATTTGTCATATAGCATTCAGTGTGATTCCTAGTCTTGGTTCAAAACTCACTCTAACCATAAACTCAGTGAATAGCTAAAGCCAAAACTGTGCAGCCTCAGTTCCCTACCTGTTATATGATAGTGCTTACTTATCTTGAAAGGTTGTAAAGTTTGCTGAGATATGTATACACACACTTCAGATCTGTGTAAAGTTTCAAAAACAAAACATATAAATAGTACATATTATTATAAGAGTCCAGCCAAGCTTGATTAAAAAGGTCTTCCTTTCTGCATGTCTATATCAAGTGTGAGGTCCTTAATTTTTTGTTATTGACATACTAATGAAAGATAAATGATTCAGGAAGGCCTTTTCTATTAGTGATATTTGTGCAATTCAGCCTCTGCTGTGTCAATATAATGTCTTACGTTCATAAAGATGCCAAGAATATTCTCTGACTAACTCAATGTATTGTGGATCTGAATATTTTGATTATTGACAAATGGCATGTATTTCCGACTTTCCACTTTTCCCTTATAAGATACAGATATTTAGCCAATGTCAACCTCACCAGGGCACAAAATTTGCTGGTGAAAAACAAGGCTGGATTGGTCACCTCCAGAAAAGGAGGGTATGTATAATGAGGTTTCTATGACTCTGATAGTTGCTTAAGAAAGAAAGATCTGGTGCTTGAGAAAACATAAATAAATCTGGGCACTTTCACTGTCCTCTATGGCACCATCCTTTCTCTGCTTGTTTCTACCCATGTGATAAGATCTGGCAGGATTGTCATGTTCCAGTTTCCATCAGCAAAGCAGTACAATCTTGTGGGACTTCAGGTGTTTTGGTGGCTCTCCCTTCCCTCTGGAATAGCATTCCCCCACATCCATATGGCCCCAGCTCTTTTGTTTCAGAAAGCCTTGAAGATTTGGCTTTTATAGCAAGCCCTGGGTCAGGATGGTTGTTTTATGGTGTGTAACTGCTTTTGTTGGTTCCCCATGGGGATTTTAGCAAACATTTTGTTATTTGCTTAATTTTTCTTGCCTTGTTGTTTTAATCCTAATTATTTATGCTTTGTAAGACACATTGGGTTGCTGTTATGATTAAGGCTTCCTGTAAGTTGATTAAATGAACGATTAAATAAAATTCTTCTGCCTTTTTACCCATTTCTCTGCCAACTAATAAGATATTAGAAATTATCTTACCAATCTTAAAATGTAAACCTATACCTCTAGGTGCTGAGTGAGCTTCAGAACTTTACAAGGAGAAAGTAGTGTTTGAGGCTCACACAGCTGGATTGTTCATCACACTAAGAGAGGTGGGAGCTAATCACATAAGTTTATCAGCTCTCTGGAGTTTGGTAGAGATAAATAAACTATTTAAATGGCAGCCACCAAAGCTCTCCCTTTCGATTTTTGGTACTATCTGGGCTAATAGGCTTGCCATTTCCTGAGCTATGAATAGGTTGGTGGTTTGGCCTTTCAGATCAAAATCCAGCTATAGAGAGGTACCACCAGACACTTTAGTAGCTCTACTAGAGCTGGGCTGTAAAAATCTGGGTTGTGATCAAATGGTAGCAAAGAATTACTGAAAACTCTTTGCTGACATCCAGTGGCTATGCTGACTTTTGCAGCCAGTTATGCAATAGCCTTAATTTTAAGTTTAGAGGATCCTAGAAAGAAGGTCCAGTGAAGGCATACATTGGGTCCTCAGTTTCCTGACAAATTTAAAAGTTTGTTTGCCCAGTGATTGAACAGTTGATATGAAATGGCCCTTTTTCAGAGCTGGATACTTTCTGGATTAGTAGCCATATCCAAAATGGACACATTATATGGGGCTTTAACATTTGAGGGTATATGCCTCAAACATAGCAATGCTTTCTTACATTTGTGTCTCTCTAAGACCAATTAGGGAGCCACGGGTATGTCATTGTCAGTACCCACCCCCACGCCATCAAAAGAAAAAGGCTTGGTGGGTTTTCTAAATTTTCAGTGAGTGAAAATAATTCAGTGCCCTGGGCTTCAAGGTAGATAAGATTCAACTGGGGATGGTGAGTTGTGAACAAAATCACAGCAGGGCACTGTTGATGAACGAAAAGAACTGCATATAGATTTTATACAAGTTAAGGCTTTTAAAGGCAGTTTACCTGGGCAGCAGGCTCTTCTCTGTTTGAAGTATCCAGCTGAGTCCTAAATATAATGGAAGAAAATGTATTGAATCACAACTTAAACAGCTATGCCTCAGGATACATCATATGGAAATGGCATATATGTGGCCACTGCCAACACAGAAAATTAGTCTGAATTAATGGGAGAGGGCACGTTGAACCTTGCTGTTAATGGTTCCAGTTTGCTGACTTGCTGTTTCTCTTCCAAACAAAGATGGTTCTCATCTGTAACCTTAGCATGATCAGTCAGAAGGCTTAGAGAACCAGCTAAGGGTTGGATCTCAGTTAAGTGGCATCCATAGAATGATTTTAAAAATGAGTCGTGCCACTGTGCTGTTTCTTGCCTTTGTTGTATGAAGAACTGAGAGTGGTTGTAATGTGGACTTTGTTGCACTAGAGGAATGCAAATAAAGAGTTAACTGGCCACTTCCTTTTACAGAATGGAGAACTAAGAGAGATAAAAGAATCCCTTCTGCCAGTGGGACAAAATAAAAAGAGGAAAAGGGAAGGGAAGGGAAGGACCTTTGTGACAAACTAAACAATATTTTTATATTAAAGTATAAAGAAGAGTTTTGTTTATGTACCTTTGTAAAAAAAAAAAAAAAGAACATATCCTGTACTTTAAGTTATAGTTAAATAAAGTGTTAATGATTCGTAATCACCTGGTCCTCTGAGTAAATGAGAGTTGGATATCTCCTCCATCCTCCCCAGGTGTAAGATACACTGTTACTAAGGCTACCAGATCTGGGCTGCAAAGATCTGGACAAGTTTTCTGAATCTCTTTGCTCTCACCTAGTGGTTGACCAGATATGCGCAGTGCCGATCTGGTAGCTGTAACCTTACCAAGAAAGAATCTATAAAGGAGATACACTCAGTATAAAAGCATTAAGTCTGTAATTTTAGAATGGTGACAGCAGTGTATTTATTCCCAAAATAAGCTTAGAAAAACATATATCTCCTCTGACAAAATAAGGGTTTTCACCATAGATACAATAATTATTACACACTTAGAAGGTAACTGTCTCTGAGTACCCAGAGGTACTGTAAAGCCTTACCTAGTAAGCAAGGGGGATCTGGGCACAATTATATTGCCATCAGAAAGCAGTACACAGGTGGTTTCATTCTAGTTGGACGTCATCAGATATACTAGCCACAGATCTGTTCTATGAGTTCAACTTCTCTATTGGGAATTGAACTCATGGACCATTGAATTTTAGATGACTACACACAGGGCAGTAGTTTTAGGAGCTATCCAGGTCCAGGTGCTCAGCAAGGCTGCAGGAAAGCATATAGAGAGTACAGGATGGTACAGTCCATGTCCCTTTTCTTAAACTCCTGAACCACAGTGGTACAGTTATTATATTATGCCATGCCCTCCTGTTATGACGTTTTACATGACTTCCACCACCACCTTGTGGGGAGGGGGGATTCCTCTATTTTTACAGGGACAGAGTCCTATGTGGTATTTTTACTCACATTGAGAGGCACTAAACAACCAGTTCAATTCTAGCTGGAATCTGCCAGGTGTATATAGCCAATCTTTTCTGTGGCAAGTTCCAACAAGAATGACATCTACACACTGTGAAAAAATGGGATGGGATTGCCACCAAAATGTTTTGATATTGCACTTTGGAGACAGGGATCTTGGTTTACTAAAAGGTAAGACTCTGATTTTACTTACCAAGGAAGATATGCTAAGCATCCAGGTCCAATGACTTAGATACAAAAACTATGGTCAGAGATGCTACACAGTAGAACACGAGTATATAGGGCTAGAAAAGGTGTAAATAGGAAATTTTAGAAGGCCATGTGTTATCAGAAAATTCTGCTTGCCAGACAAAGCCTGAACAGAGGTAAAGGCATTCATATATTGCATGAAAGTAATTAGGACATCTACTTGCATGAACTCTTCCAATGCAGATGGAATAAATATCTTTCTGTGGTATGTAGGAGAGTTGGATGAATACCGAGAGGCATCTTTAAGATGAAAGAAGATTCACTGGAACTGTTGTCTGGGATCATGGGACTGGGGCCAGAGAGAAGAACTTTTGGGGGCCTGAATGGATCACTTATCATCATAGGACTTGAAAGAAGGCAATATAGGAGGATATTCCTCAATATTAAAAGTGGAAGCAGAATTGGTACTGTCCTAAGGATTGTGGCTGGATAATCTAGAGGAGAATCATGGCAAAGAATCTCTGTCCTAATAACCTGTGCAGATATTCCTAGCATTAACACAGTAAAGTTTTCACCAACTTTTAAATTCATACTACATGTCTGCCTCTTGATTCTGGTCTCAATTAATAATTACACTTTAATGTGCATTAGCCAGATCTCACCTTGAATATCGTGTCTAGTTCTGGGCATCCACACTCTAAGAATTCATGTAAACTAAAACGGGCTCAGATAAGGACAGTAAGGACAATGAAGCAGAAAGCTAAATACTTCCATGAGAAATTAGGACAGCTATGTATGTTCAACCTTGAGAAGAAAGACTAAGGGAAGATGTAATAGAACTCCTCAAATATGTGAAGAAGTCTGACAGATAAGAAGGCCAAGACCTATTTTCTATGAATCCAGAGTTCAGGACACAGACTTACATATTTAAGCTACAGGAAAGCAGATTATGCATGAATGTTAGGGAAAGATCTACATACAAGGGCTTTGTGATATCAATTATCCAGAGAGGTGGTAGATTAGCAGTGGCCTATATATCCTTTTCCTATTCTATCAAACAGGGTATGAAAAAAAAAAAAAAAGAAGGCACGTTTAGGCATTTGGGCTTGTTTGGCCGTGTTTGGCAAGCAAACCTCTACAGCACTAGTAGACAATCTTTTTGTGGCTGTTTATTTGTTTAGTAGCCAAGGGCTGCATAGGAATGTGGCAGTCATATGATGTCATCACCAAAAGAGGTAGTGCTGGAATATTCTGTCATTTTGGAAAGTTGGGGGGATGGATTAAAACTATTGTTTTTGGCAGGAAATCAAATTTTATTTGATAAAATAAATAGAAGAGGTGGCATGACCTCTTGACTACAGTACAGAACTCCTAAGTTTGCTTGCTTATTTTGCTTGCTTATTCTCTGTAGATAGAGAGGAAGGGCAGAAAGCTGGTCTACTGTCTATCTGTATTGGATTATGTGGAGAGGCCTTACAGGAATGAAAGATCATTGGGTAGCACTTCTAGATGAAAGAAGGTTTCAGGATCTGGGTTATAGACTTAGGATAGGCAAGAGATTTTGAATGGCTTAGCCAATTATGGTAATGAGACTTAAGAGATGAGTTACAGGAAACACCACTCAACACCTAAAAGAATGGCCAAGAATGGAAATGCTTTTGGAGTTGTCTCTTATTGCTGGGTGAATCTCATTGGACAAATAATAGAACTCCAACTCACAGGTTTCTTTTGCAGCTCTGTTATGCAAGATAACAATAAAGTTGTATCCCAGTTTTAATTCCTATGTGTCTCTCCATTTCTTTATTTCTGAGTCTAATCACAGCATTACAATACTCAGACTATCTTTGTGGGGCATATGTATTTCTTCTAATCAATTGTCATTTGCATGGAAACTTCATGACAAAATCATTTTGCAAGCCTCTTTTGTATAATTTAACAACAGAGCAAACATTACTAACATGATCCAGCCTCACATGGGACTGAGCTAACATAAAAAGCAAAAGCATCTGTGTCACACAAAGCTCTTATTTGTCTCTATTATTGGTTCTTTCTCTGTTATATTTAACTTAAACACATGTTTCCCCTTCAGGAACCATATGCTGTTTGCATATGAGTTCTTAACTTAGCAAACCAGTGCCCCACATCCATGGTACAGATCATACAGGAAGTGTGTCTGCACACTTGCATGCAGGTGTGACTCTATTCAGTTGTAATTGTTAGTTACTGAAGGTTTTAGCATGCCAAGCCAACTCAGGCAATTTTGCTATTAGAAGTAAATAGAATGTTGATGTTTTAAGAGAATCTCTGAGGAATTTCAGAGAAAGAAACAAGTTCTAATGAGACCTACAATGCATCTTAAGGTGGTTCCATGTAGCCCTAAGGAAGCAAAAGAAAAACCCATTAAATAGTTGAAGCGCACCAGATGTTCTTGCTCCTTTGGCCTTGTCAGAACATCTACAGTTATGGATGAAGCAATGACATCTGTTAATCCTTCCTCCATCCCTCGTTTTGGTTTCCTAATCACTGGAATTTCTTTCATGGCTTGTCATGAAGGCTTCTTTCTTTTGAATCACATTTCTCTATTTGTTATCACTATTTCTGAAGAACTTCCCAATCTCAGGTATTGTTATGATGACAATGGTTCTTACTGTTGCACTACTTAATTGTTTTACACTTTAACAATATTAGGTTTCAGTGCAATCTTATATGTGCCTACTCAACTCAAGCACAGAATTACAACTCTGAATAAACAGAGAATCTTTGACTTAAAAAATGTAGCTGGAGGTGTATGTTTTACAACAAAATTGAAAATCAGCTGGAATAAAACTTAAGCAAAAGCTACTGTATCAGGATCAAAATAAACTGTAAAGTGTTAAATATGAAATTAATTTCAGTTTGCCATTGACAGATTGCTATGTGTACTTTTAAAATACACCATAAGCAATGGCCATCTGTTAATCACAGATGTGTATCTGCTCAACGAGGTATGGTTAGGGTTGGTTGCTTAAATATAAAGATAGCCTTCACCAATATGCACATGAAGGTGAAAAGATTGCTTGCTTTGAAGTATTACATAAAGCTGTTTCACAAGAATTTTGTCACTGAAATAAGTGGGAGCAATACTTCTAACCAGAGCTCTTTTATGATACTTATAAATATCGGGTGATACCTTGGCTCTGTTGCACAGATAGTGTCATGTACAACTCAATGGGAGTCAAAGTGGATTTCATTAAACCACATGTGTGCAATTTATATCCATAAAGCCAAACATAGCTTATTTGCCCATAATGGCATTTTAAATATTTGAACCTAATTTCTATAATCAAAGGAGAGGGAAAAAAAATTCTGAGCTGCTGTATGTAATTGATAGGCTATGTTTGGCTAAGTGGCTCATACATTAGATATTTCTGACTGGTAATCTTCATCATATGTATATATACTTGTTGAATGATATTTGTTATTATAGCATACTTGCTGGCTGTCACATGTATGTACATTATTTAATACCTCAACATTAAATTATTCTACCCTTGAGGATTCAGCCATATATATGAACCATCACCATCCAAAATTATTTGCATTTAATTTGATATTATAGTATATGAAATTCTATGGTTAATGGCCAATATACATATACAACTTATCCTTCAGTGCTACTGTCAAGGAGTGAGAAATAAGCTGTTTGTGAGCTAGCAGGAAAAAAATGCTGCTGAAAATTCATCATAATAAACAGTGTTCTGTTTTATTACATAATTTGGATTAGAAGTTCCAGTTCTACTGATAGATAATTTGCAGTAGATCAGTAAGGATTTCTAACTCCCAAATGCCAAAAAATAGCTGCAGCATAATCGTATTTCCACCCTTCTCTCACATTATATTAAAGAAGATTTAAAAAAAACTTGGGATGGTCAAGAATGGGTTTTTGTGTATTAGCACTAGGATCTCAGTTCAGTTATTCTTCCCAGAACAAATCCCTGTGTTCTTACTTCTTTGATTTTGCATGTATGGGTCTTTCTATCCACCCATCCTTGGATCAGCAGAAAATTATACCAGCATGAAATGTTCTGCCCTCATTAGAGATCCCTCTCCTGCCTCTACTGGGTCTGTTCCCAATCACCACCCAATGGGGTTGTCTTGATAAGGCAATGAGGAGGAGGAGGAGGAGGAGGAGGA